CTGGACTGAGGCAACCCGGCCCTGGAGCAGGGCCAGGACTCAGCTATGTGTCTTTCTGAAGGCCATTGCCAGGGAGGAGTCCAACAGTGCCTTGAGCATCTCTTGACTTGTGTTAGTAAGTTCTGGTGTGTGTTCACCATTCTGCCTTGTGCTTTGGAGGTGGGATGATCGTGGTGCATGAAGGCTGGCAAGGGGGAGGGTGGGTGAAAGGAGTTGGGGGCGAGGAGGTGGTGACAGGGAGGGAGAAGGGGGGCGTGGATGCTTTGGAGGGCTCCTCATTTGTGCATTGTGGGCTCCAAGGAGGTAGGAACTATGTCTCTCTCACTGTGGTGTCCTTAGTACCTGGCACAGTGCCTGGCAGAGACTGAGTGCCCAGTAAATTCCTGTGGAACGAAGGCAAGGAGTTACACTGCACAGGCGCAGAGGGATCCTGTGGGAGGAGGAGTCTCCCCTTAAAGGTCTGGTCATGTTCAGTGTCATTCAGCCTGAGGATTGCTGAGGCCTCAGATCTAAAATCCTTAGGGCAGAGCTGTCCGTCTCTCTCTGGCTTTGATGTTGTTCAGGAGAATTAGGGGAGGGGATTGCTCTTGGAGGGAGGGGCCCTAATTGGGCACTCACCTTTGGAAGAAAAAAAGAACATGGTCTGTGAGCCCGAGAGCAAACCCTGACTCCAGTGTTAGATTATGTAATTCCTGGTTGTCATTTGTCTGTTTCCTCTTTGTTTTATGCAAATCCTTCATCATAATAATAACTGACATTTACTCAGTGCTGACTGTGTGCCAGGCACCATGCTGAACCCTTTGCATTCATCTTTATTCATTACTCTCATAACAAAAACCCCGCAAGGTAGGTGTTACTATCATTCTCAGTTTACAGAGAAGGAAACTGAGTCATAGAGAGCTGAAGGAACTTGCACTAGGGCACACAGACCAAAGGTAGCAGAGTGGGAATTGAACCCAGGTCTGTAGGACTCCAGAGGAACATTCCTAACTGCTATGCTCCACTGCCTTATTTGAGCCTCTTCTGTGCTACAGAATATTTAAGTAAAGGGTTAGGGGCCCATGTTTCCTTGTGCCACAGTGTTAAAGGGGATGAAGTCCTCTCTCCCTCCAGTCCTGTGCAGTGGTGACCACAGGTATTATCAAGGGTCTCCTGGGGAAAGGACAAAAGGTCCAGCCACTCCTTCCCATGAGGATTGGGTGGGATGGGGTGAAGGGACAGGTAGATGGCAGTGGAGGAGGTTCAATGCTGCCCACATATATTGAGCACCCACTGTGTGCCAGGTCAGCCACTCCTTCCCATGAGGATTGGGTGGGATGGGGTGAAGGGACAGCTAGATGGCAGTGGAGGAGGTTCAATGCTGCCCACATATATTGAGCACCCACTGTGTGCCAGGCCTGTGCTGGGCACTGGGGAGGAGAGATAAATTAGACATGGTGCCCTCTCTGAAGGGACTGAGGGACATACACTTGTGTCTCTGGGATGTCAACCCTACAGACAAACTGGGATGCAATTAACAGGCTTCAGTGGGGTGTAATGCTTGAGCCCCCACTTCCGTCCGTGGGCACACGTGCACTCTCTCTGCTCCTCCACGGATGGCCTGTGCCGAGGCAGCACTCTGCTCAGGCCTGTGTGGTGTCAGGTCAGGGGACTCAGCCCAGCTTCGGCTCTTGGACACAAGCCTCAGAGATGATGTTTATGGTGCCCCTACCACCTATGCACGTCTGCTGTGAACAGTGCTCCCCTGGGGGCCCGGGGCAAGCCAGCTGAGGCAATCAATTGCCATCTGCAGAGGCGGCATTGGAACTGGGGACAGGAGCGAGCAGGCTGGGATGAAGAATTTCTGGATCATAAGGGACTGGGTGGGGAGCCTGAGGACGACTGTCTTGGAGTTCCTCCTCAGGGATTCTCTCCACTGAGGGGCTCCAAGCCTCTTGAAGTTAGAGCCCTTTTGTGACCGGCCTCTGTGACTCAGCACAGCCACTTCCTGAGGGTGCAGCTCTCCCCAAGAGGCTGGGCTAGCACTGAGCAGGGTGTGCCCACTCAAGTACCAGACCACAACCCAGCTCTCTCTGCACAAGTGTTGGGACCACTCCTGCCTTGGTCCAGACATGCTGGTTCCCTGGACAGGCCTCCCAAACTTCAAATCTCCCCAACAGAGCTTGTCTTGTCCCTTCCTATTCAGAAGCCTATGGGCTCCATATGCAAACCATCACCTTATCCCCTGAGTCTTCTAAGGAGAGGGGGGCCTTGCTGAGCCCTCAAAAAGCTGCTGTTACTCCCCCTTTCCCCAGAGCAAGGGTTTAGCCTTATATTCCTCATCGGAGGGAGGTCATTCTAGTGCTTCCTGTAGTTCAGAGGATGGACACCTGGCTTCTCCATCTCTGCCTAATCAGTAAAGTGGCCGTGAGCTCTCTCAGTGACAGCAAACTGAGCTCTGCCTCTCCAAGCGTCCTGTGAGGTGGAGCCTGAACATCCTGCTGGCTAGAAGGCGTCTGGAGGAGCGGGGGTGTGTGTGAGCTGGGTTTGGAAGGATGGAAGGGAGTTTTTCAGGCAGGTGAGCTTCAGAAGCACATTCCAGGCAGCGAGAACGGCATGTGCTAAAGCCCAGAAACAAAGTCAACTGGTTTTGTTCTGGGAGCTGTGGTTGACTTCAGGGGAAAGTGGGGGTGAGGGGGTGGTGGATGAGGCAGGCCAGAAACAGATCTTGTTGGGCTTCTTATTGCAAGGATGACTCACAGAAGGACAAAGTGTTTTCGGAGAGAAGTTTATTGAGTTTTCTCATCTAGGACATTGAGGAGAGTGACAGAGAAAGCTCTGGACTCTAGCTGGAAGAGGGAGGGCAAGGAAAGGGTTCCTGAGAGCTGCTGGCTACTCCTCATCTGCCTCGTCATCGTTTTCCAGGTACTTTTGGACGGTGTAGCCCAGAAAGGCACCAATCTTGCCCATGAGGGCACTGCTGCCACCAGCTCCTGCAAAGTAAGCACAGATGGGTCACAAGCACTGGATCTGGGAATCCAAATGTCTGGAAACCATCGATCCAGTCCAACCCCTTCATTTCCAGATGAAGAAACAGGCCTTGAGGGGGGATGGGACTTTCGCAGAGTGAATCCTATTTCCTCCCTGACTTGCCATTCCAAATCAGATGTTTTTTGGAGATGAAAAAGACAAAAATACCAGCTCCTTCACTTCATGTCTGCAATGAAAACACCATTAATAACGCTAGACCTCACTGTGTGGGTGCTGGGAACTCACAAGCAAGGTATCATTTCATCCTTGTCACAGTGCTGTGACATGTGAGAGGACAGCCATCTTAGAGTACTGGGGTGGCCCTAGCCTTGCCCATACCCTACACCTCCCACTGCAGAGGCAGGGGCTGGCCTGTGTCCTCCCCTCTGCTCATTTGAAAAGGGCTCTCTTCTTTTGGGCTGGTTCTTTGGGATTTGCCATCCAGAATTGAGAGCAGCAGGAGGGTTCAGAAAGGCAGAGGGGGGCCGAGCCCATGGCGCACTCGGGAGAGTGCTGCGCTGGGAGTGCAGCGGCGCTCCCGCCGCAGGATCCTATATAGGGATGGCCGGTGCGCTCACTGGCTGAGCGCCATGAGGCCCATCTCAAAAAAAAAAGACAGAAAGGCAGAGGGGAAGTTTGTCAGGAGTGAGTTTTCTCCAGGAATTGGGAGGCCTCAGAGAGAGGGGGACAGAGAGAAAAGGAGTGGGGAGAGAGAAGTGAAGGCGATTGTTAGAAGAGTCGCTCTGAGCTCTGTAGCTACCCCCTTTACGGTGTTCAATACATGCAAGCGAAGACCAGGATTGGTGTGACATCGCTTTGGGTTGTTTCCACCATATTTCTTTGCTACTATGGTTCTCTGAGATTGGGCAGATGCGAAAAATGAGGGAAATAGGCTTATGACTCGACCACAGCATCAGCAAGGCACCTGACCATAGAAGTTAAAAGCAAGGCTTCTGGCATCATACCGACCGGGTTCGAATCCTGCCTCTGGCTCTACACTAGCTGGGAGAACTTGAGTAAATTGCTTAATTCCTCGGTGCCTCACCTGTCCCATGTGCATGACGGAAATAATAAGAACACCTGCCCCACAGAGCTGACTCAGCCTGTGAAAGGGCCAGGCCCTGCACTCACCGACGCTCTGCAGCGTGGCCACCAGCCCCCCAGCGGGCACGCCGCCCCCATTCAGCACCGCCGACCAGCTCATCAGCGACGAGGCCACAGAATTGGCGGCTATGCCGGCGCCCGTGAAGCCCAGCGCTGGCAGCCCGGCCATCATGAGCCCTGGAAAGAAAGAGGAGGCGGTGAGCGAGCGCCCAGGGCAGGGACCCGCCCACCTGCTCGAGCTTCCCGCCCTCCAGGCCCACCTCCTCCGATCGCAGTGTAGGTCAGAGCGCTCCAGAACCCCGAGCCGCCGGACTCTGAACTTTTTCCTTTTTTTCTTTTGCCTGCGGGAGAAGGGGACAAAGTGGGGCCGGCCCATGGCTCACTCGGGAGAGTGTGGTGCTGATAACACCAAGGCCACGGGTTCAGATCCCCTTACCGGTCATCTTTTTAAAAAAAAAAGGGGGGGGCAAAGTGGAGTGTGGCAGAGAGCAAGGGTCCCCTACTCTGTGCCTGGTGCCCAGGACCACTCGCAGAGTTGGGGGGAAGGGGATCATCCTCCCATATCGGAGAGCCTCACAGAGGGAAAGGGACTTTACCCCAAGCGCCGTGCCTGGCGCACAACTGGCACTGATTACATTTCGTTGGAATGGAGGAATTGACCGAGCAGGGAATCAAACCTGGGACTCTGGCTGCAGCAACCCTGCGCCGTCCATTATAACAGCTCCTCTAGCTCAGAAGCACGGTGGGGTCTCTAAACCAGGGATCCTGAAACTGTTCCCTTCTTTTCCCCACAGTCCCGCCATCCCCCAGGATCCTTACCTGCCTCCACCCCGCCGCAGGTGTAGAGCAGCAGGTAGCACAGGAAGAGCGATACCATCTTCTGCCGCATGGTGGCGTCACGCGCAGGCTTTGTCGCTGAACCTGGGCATGGGAGAGAGGAAAGAGAGTCCTCAGCCTTTCCAGAGTCTCGCGAGCTTAGTCGTTTCCCCTTCCCATTCGAGAACGCGTCAGCAAAAGCAGCAAGTTGTGGTGGCCGGAGCCCAGTCTCCTCTCAGGAGCTGCGGGAATTCCGTTTCCTCTCGGCGTCAGTGGCCGCGATGTTCCTGCCCCAGCCAGTGGTTGTGAGAATTCAATGGTACAGTGTCTGGCACAGGGTGAGCGCTCAGTAGACGTAGTGGGTGTCATTACCGTGGTTGTCGTTCTTAGCTTTGTCATCACTGGCTAAGACACCTTGGGCAGGATACTATGGTACTTCGCTTCTCTGGGCCTCAGTTTACTTATCCCTAAAATTAGGGTATTAATAGAGCCTATTTTATAGGTGGTTGTGAGTTTAGAAACTGTTCAATACTGCATTCCTAGCATTTAGAATAGTGCCTGGCATGTAGAATTTGCATTAAAAATATATATATATATATTTTTTTCCTTTTTGTCTTTTTTCGTGACCGGTAATGGGATCGCAACCCTCGGTGTCGCGCCCGCACCGCGCTCAGCCAGTGAGCGGACCGGTCTCTATATGGGATCCGAACCCTCGGCGGGAGCGCCGCCGTGCTCCCAAGCGCCGCACCCGGGCCGGCCCTAAAAATATATTTTTTAAATAATGCATTGAATACCTACAGGCAACAAACATTGGCCTCACATCAACTTCATTTTTCAGAAAGCACAGAGGGGTAAAGGAGCTTGCCCAGGGTCACACAGCAAATTGTGCAGTCTAGATACACATTCAAGACTGACTGTCAGAATGTAAAACCTATGCTCTTTCCATTATACCACAAAATAGGAAAATACATATGCCCCAAACTCACCTCTTATTTGATCTTTGTCAGTTCAATGCTATTTCCTTGAATTAGAAATAAACGAACAAAACCCCTCCTATGTATTGAGCGCTTACTCAGCATTTTATGGCACAAGGTCACTTATACCCATAACAACCCATAAGGTAAGTATCAACCACGTGTTATAGCTAAAGAAACTGAGGCTCAGAGAGGTTAAGTAATATTCCCAAGGCTGCCCAGCCAGGAAGTGGCAAGAGCCAGGATTTAAACCCACAACTAGCTGATGCCCAAGACTTTCAACAACCACTCCAAATTGCTTCATCAGTTCTCAAAGATGAACTCACTGTCACATTAGATCCTACAATAAAAGGGCTTCAGAAATCATCCAGTCCTTTGGGCAGGTAAGGTAGCTTAATCTCCATTTTACAGAGGAAATAACTAGGGCCCAAGAGGCAAAGTAACAAGATTAAGGCCACAGAGAGCTATGTCTCTTGCCTCTTGGGGTTCTGCGTCCCATCTCCCTAAAAGCCTCAACCTATCCTCCCAGACTAGTCCCAGACCCAGGTGCTAAAAGGGACCCAAGGGTGCAGTCTTCTTCAGAAATGGGCATTCTGGCTCTTGAGGCATGAGGCTTTCAGGTAGAGAGCATGGCAGAGGGTGGCAGCCTGACACCCACACTTCATAGCTCCTGGGTTTACCTTTGAGGAAGAGAAGAGAAGAGATCTTCCAGCTTGGAGTCTGCTTATTGAGGAAGCAGCTCTCTGGCTTTTTATAATCACATGCGGACTTGCGGATCCCTCCCCTAACCCCA